CAGCAAAATGTGAACTAGCAATGGTTCAACCAGTTATCAATAATGACCAAAGTACTTTAAACTCAAAGCACTGTCACTTTTGGTAAAAGAACCTTATTTCCTAAGCAAACAATACTAATATTCTTAAAGAGAAGCACATTCTACATTTTATTAAACAAAAGGAATCACCGAGTAAAACTAGAACGAAATCTCGATACCAATGCAAACCATATAACAACCAAATACGATCATTAGGAAGGCAGGATTACTTCCGTGATAAAGATAAATGCCAAATGCAAGATCGACATCCTTCCGAAAGCAGTTAATGAACAGGATCATGTGGGAAAAGTATGCAAACCTTCTTGGCTCTTTCTTCTCTCTCTGCATCTTTGCGCCTGTCCTTCTCAGAACCCTGACAATCGAAGGCCGGTTCAATATACCAGCATAAATTGAATAGATGAATGAAACCATGCATAACAAAAGAACAAAGTTTAGAGATCTTACAAGCTTGATAAAGATAACATCATTGCTCTTCTTGTTTGAAAGTTGTTGCATGGACTCGAACTCTTTGACATCAGCCTTCCTTTCTTCAGTCTTGAGGGTAAGCAAAGCTTTCCTCTTCTCCGCAAAGAATCTTCTCATGTTCTTCCAATGTCATCTCCTAATATAGATGGAAGAAACCAGCAAAATTAGAACATTAACATCAAATCAGGCAAATTCAAACTAAGTTGATTGTTCGGTCAGCCTAAAGTTGATTCCATCAACCAATGAGGAGGTGTGGCTAGAGTCAGCACTCATAATTTTTGAAACACGAAATTCGCCCAATTTATCAGAAACAACACCAATCCACCTAAGAAATACCTAGTTAGAGAGTATTTAGTAAGCATAAATAGGCTACTGCTTGACCACTGATGCTATTTACTTTGAAACTATTACAACTCGTATGAATATAATGTTCATTGCCCAGCATCAAAAAAGTTGTAAAAGACAAATAATCAATTCAAGAAGTATCAAAGCACATTCCATTTACTCCCTTATCACTAATTAAATTAGCAACAAAATGGGGAAACCACAAAAAATAGTTTTGTTATCCTCTCATATCTCTAGAAAAAAAAGACCCTATCCGTGATAAAAATAAAAACTACCTTAGTTTCAGGCTCCTTCTCCTCGACTTCATTTGCAGCATTCTCCTTGCCGGCATCTGCAGCATTCTCCTTGCCGGCATCTGCAGCATCTTCCTCACCAGGCTGCTTCTCAGAGCTCACATTCTTTTCATGCTCAGGGACATTTTCTTCAGCTTCTCTCATTTTGGCCAAAATAGAATATGAACAAAGAGATAAGCTTGCATAGGGCAATACACACACATATGCATATGTATACAATCCAAGGAACTTTGTAATGAATACAGCACAAGAGATTTGAAAAAATATATACTCACCGAGCAACTTCATCAGTAGGGCTACCCCAATTACCACGTCCAGCGCCATCACGCTTGAACTCATTCCTGGTAGTAAAAATAGATGGATTGATGACGCAATAAATAGTTAAAGAAGACATAAATCAATAGTGGGAATTATAACAAACTACAACAGAAAATGGAAATTCAACTAAGCAAAATACTAACCCACGTCCAGTGCCGCTACGGCGATCATACAGCCTGCGTGGGCGCTCCCCTTCTCCAGAGTTAAAACCACGACCCCCCGGAAAGAACCTCAAGACCCACCATAGCCACGCCTCTCAGTTTGGTTCCCTCCTCCTCCCTCTTCAGAGGGTCTGTACAGCCCTGAAAATCCATTGGAATTGTCACTAAATTTGGATTCACGGTTGAACCCACTGCCACCATGTCCATGCCCAGTACCACGACCTCCTCCACGCCCAGGCTCACTCTTCGCCTCCATCGCTACATAACAATAAACACAAAATAATGAGCAAGCACGCCACACTTCAATATCAGAGTGATTGTCAAAATGTCAATAAAAAACTAAATATAGTTCAAGGCTTCAGCAACTAAAGCCAGAACACTCGCATCATTAAAATGAAGTTCCAAATAAAGCTTAAACTTCACATGAAAATGCATGTAGTTGATAAACACAGATTGAAACAATAAAGTCCACCAATTTCTCACTTTCTGCCGCACTTCGAGTATTGCCAAGTAACAAGAACCACACAGAATGTCAGAACCCACTTATTCATATTAAAAATGTAATACCCAAATAAACAAAATTGAACTAAATACTTGCTCCGATGACAAATAGAACTGATAAATTTCACAATTTTCTGTTCTTTCATTGCCGGGGAAAATAAATAAGTACTCGTAAGACATGAAAGAGCAGCTTCAAAAAGACAAAATTGATAAATTTCACAAATTTCTTTTAGTCTACTTCATTTTCAATCCAATGAACAGCCAAAACATCAAATATAAACAAGTCCAACAATGATAGTCCAGCAAACCACAGTAACAACAAAGCCAAAAATTTACTCCATTTTTACGCCATCTCCAAAACAAAACAGAAAATCAAGAACCCATTAAAAAGAAATAAAAACTACCAGCTTGAGCAGGAGGAGGTGGCTTGGTGGGGAGCTTGGCAGCCTTACCCGGCTGAGCCGGAGCAGAGGCAGGAGCTTTCTTAGGCTTTTCAAGCTTTTGCTGCTCAACAGAAGCAATAAGCAAACTTGGGTCTTCAGTGTCATCATCCAAGAGATCAAAAGGGTTCTTGGTTGCCATTTGTCAACTCAAAGAAGTTATAATGAATATTTTAGCTTTTCTTTTTTTTAAAAATAAATTAGAGGGGAACTAGCAACCAAGAGAGCCCTAGTGTATGGATAAAGCCATGGAAATGAAAACAAGTAGGAAAATATCGGAACTGATGTTTGGGAGGTAAGAAAATGGGAAGAAATATTGAATAAATCGGAGAGGGCGGCAGTGAAAAGAGAGCGAAAACGATGCTAGACCTAATCTTAAAAACCCTATTGTCTTTGTTAATGTGTGGGCGAGCTCATTTTAAGATTAGATAGTGTGGGTAGGGGGGTGAGCATTCGATTGAATTTATCCTAGTGCTTTTAAATTATTTGAATTCGAAGATTATTATTTTATAACTCAAACTTTATTTAAAAAAAAATTTCTCAATTTGAGTCACGTTTAAAAAGTTCAAATTATTCGAGTTGAGATATATTTATAACTCAAATTTTATTTAATTTTTTCGAATTAAGTAAAATTTTTCAAGTATTTCAAGACAAGAAATTTATTTTATAACTAAAAATTTATTGGAAATTTGTGTTAGTTAAGTCAAAAAATCGAATTGACAAATTTTATTCTATAACTCAAATTTTATTTATTTTTTTAAATCAAGTCGAGATATATATGTATGTATGTATGTAAAACTAAATGAGTAGCATCGCAGTCTGATTAACTCTAACAGCTCTCTCCCTTCCCTTCTTTTTTTCCTTTTTTCTTTACAATTTGTGTCAATTTTTTCTTATTTGATTTTGTTTAGCCAGCGACGACATCAATTTTGATATTAGTTGTCGACTTTCTGGTTGTCTTTTCTTTTTGTTTTTTTATTTTTTTTAATAATAATAATTATGTCTTTGTGACATGTTTATCTATGTCATTATGACATATTTATCTCAAACTTTTGTGGTATGCTTTTCTCTTCCTTTTAGTAGTTTTCGGTCGTTTGGCTGTTAATCTTTTTTCTCATGCTTGGATTTTACATCACCATGATTGATCAAGATGACGTTTATTTGTTATCATGTTGATCTTCTTGATTTGGACCCTTAGATTGATTTGGATACACGTTTTGTTCTCGTGGATAATTTTCTCACATCGCTTGACTCTGATTTACGATTTGTCAGTGGTATTTCAGTAGTTTCATCCCCTTTTGTGGTTTGTTTATCGATACAGTTAGATTTGTTCGTATCTTACAGTATCAATACCATTTCTGCATTTTAGAATCCATGGTATCGATACCTTCCTCATAGTATCGATACTCACAACAATATCGATACTAATTGCATCAATATCGATATTGTTCATCTGTTTTCCCCAAATTTAGACCTATAGTATCGATATTATTCTTTCAGTATCGATACATTACCCAGATTTTCCATTTTTCAGCTCGATTTTTACCCAAATTTAGTCAAATTCCCTTATTTTTACCTCCTACAATACAACTAAACTCTTCTTTACTTATCCCAACTAACTTTCATTCATTTAACTTCTTATAATATCTAAAATCTCCAAAGAACATCTCAAATCAAGAATCATACTATTTTTTCTAACATGTTTTTAATCACATCTAAGGCTTCTAATCTCTTATTTACTTCTTTGACAAGTCAAATATACTAGTAAACATCAATAAAAACTCATATTCCAACATATCATTTAAAAAACTCATTTCCTTGAACATCAAATATTTCACTAATCACTTAGTTTTAATCATCATTGAACTTTCCTTAAGCCTCTGTATCACTTAAGGTTTCCAAACTTGTCCATAAACTAAAGAATAAACTAACTTAAAGAAAACTTACCTTAGCTATGGGGAGAGCACGTGAACACGGGAAGAAGTAGAAGAAATGATTTAGTTTTTGTTTTAACTTTCTCCTTTTTAAATCCCAATTAAAATGAATTTTAAATTCATTTCCTCTTAAAGAACCAAAATGCCCTCTTTATTCATCCATTGTTATTAATTGGTCCTAAACACTATATTTCTTATCTATTATCATTCATTCAAATTAATCCTCCAAATTTTAAATATTTTTAATAAAATCACTTATCTGATATTTGGGGTATTACATTCTTCCAGTCCAAGGGGCATAATACTCACCATCGATGTAAAGACCGGAATAAACAAGAAGATCCGTGAGAACAACAATGGTTTAAAATGCATACTCTGCATACCATAGTAAGCCAGTTTGAAATTTTACCCTATTGACTTGAGGAAATGCTGGAACATTTCGATGATTAGCTCGTAGCATTCGAGATCCAACATAATCACACACAATCGGACATTGGCAACTGTTTAAAGAATCGAGATGCTCTTATCGAATGAGCGGCTGGACTCGTCGGATAAATTTTCTAACGTCGACACAATCAGTCGAAAGACCTCCTGCAACCATGCCAATAGAGGTCAACACTTGAAATGCAGAAACATTGACGCCGTTATCAGGGAACAATGATGTTCAATACCCTCATCTGTTCTTCATCATAAGGAGCATCTGGTGCGGTTATCCTTGCTATCTCGGCGATGCAAGCCACGACTGCGACTTTGACATCGTTATCGGGAAGTCCCAAAAGTTTCTCATCCACCAAGGTTTTGAGAGGTGGACATACTGCGTCGTGCATCGCTTGGCTTGGTGATTGTTCCACCATTAAAAGGTAACTCTCAACTTTCTAGAATAAAAAGTATCAATTAACGTGCACTAGTATAAGGCATAATGAAATACTAGAACAAATCAAAGTCTAATAATAAGAAAAAGGCACAAACGATCGAAACTAAAGCCTAAAGAGAAAGAGTAATTAGGGCATACGTCGAGGAGAGAAATGAGCTTATCAACTGATGAAGGAGGCTGAAACAGCCGAGTCCTAGCCGCCATTAACTGAAGCTCAAGCTTTTTATCAGATACTGCCATAGCTTTTTCTCTTCTGAACAAGACCAAAGGTAGATCCTACGGATAGACTGAAATGGTGAGGGAAAGCTAGAGATCGACAACTAGGTTTCTCAAGAAGCAATCAAGAACAGTTTTAAACAAGTGTAAATTGAGCTTTAATTCAAAGTTAAACAATTTTACCGAACTATTAGTTAGGAATATCAGTTTTATAACTGATTAACAGAAGTTTTATAGCACTGCCATACCATTATGCTTAATGTACCTTCTATTTGTGAAAAACAAATATCATTGCCTCATCGAACTCCCTGTTTGAATATAGAATGAGAATTCTCGCTATCCATTTAAGCATAGTTAGAGATGAGCATACGATCGAGTCATATCGTTCGAATTTCTATTTGAATTTCATTATAAGAATAGTTAGGGGTAAGCATGCGTAAGCACAATAAATGAAAGAAAAAAAAGAAACTTTATAATATTTGACGTAAAAAAGATTGATGAGAGTTCGTAATTTGACATTTTAACAACTTTAAATCCAGAGAAAATTCTACTTGTTACCGACGAGAATAAACGAATTATGGTGACCATAGATGGTTTTTCTCTATTACATGGAGGAAATACCACAACTAAGTTAATGCGTGTAATTTTAAAAAATGAACTATAAACAATCACCTAAGTTAAACTACCATATCCATGCACAATCTTATATACGTGCAAGCTTTTTTTCTTCTTCTTGTGGTTATTGATATACGCTTAGCTAGATGGACTAGGCAAACAACTAGGAGTTGGGACCTTAAGCCTATCCCTTTCGAGGTTCAAGCTCAAGGCCTTACGAGTATACAATTGTTTCATATTTGATCTGTGATCACGAACCAATTTCACCAAGCTTCTCTTTGCATTTGACCTAAATGGACAATTCGATGACAGGTATCCGTCCAACAAGTGCAAGTATGTCTCCAAATCATGGCAACATGCCACATCCGCATCCGATTTTAGATAAGGTGACATTTTAATATCGAGTCTTAATTCGATTCTGACATGAGAATATGTCCACATATTGTTATTGTCAATCGTATCGAACACTCTTTTCAAAACGTCATTTCTTCTTTGTTGTTGTTGTTTTGATCTTTCGCTCATGAATGCACCTGGAATCTTAGTGATTAAATCTTGATCGTTAACGATCCGTAATACTTTAACATTTTTCCTTTCGAGTCGGTCGATGAAGCCTTTGTTACCGACTCGAGGACCTCCGAAAGAAAAGACTGCGATGGGGGGCACTCGAGGCGCACATGAACTTATTTCATCGGCGACTAAAAGAGAAAGAGCGGCACCAAGGCTATGCCCCGTGATTGTTATGCTAAGGGTTTCACTTTTGTAGAGCTCGGTTAATCTTTTCACTTCTTCAACCACTGATTCAGCCAAGCTAGGAACGTGAGCGCCCCGTGTTTTATGTAAGCACAAGAATCCACATTCAACCTTTTGGGTCGGGTCATCTGATTTCGGATCCGAAACCAATCGGACTCGTAAATTCTCGGCCCATTCCATGCACGTAGCAGTCCCACGTAAGACAATGACAATATCCCTCCTTCCCATTCGTTTAATCTCCCTCTTGTCGTCGCAAACCGCTACGAACCCGAACCAACTAGACCGTTGGGTCATCCACCCAAGATTCGGAGCCATGTTGTCCACCCATTCGGGTAACCCGATCGAGGAGGTGGCGTAGAGACTCTTGGTCACCTTATAATACCTATCAGGCAACGCCACGTGTCTCTGTAACGGAGCACCGTCGGTGTTGGTCGACATAGCCGGGTCGGAGTGAAAACTATGGTAAGCGGCTTGAATGAATTCCCCATATCTCACAAGTTCCCGCCTCAGATTTTCATCGAGCGGGTCAAGCAAACCGGACCAATCATTGCAACCGTGGTATTCCCTCCAACGAGAACCGAGATCGTTCCTGGGTGAATACTCCATGGTCATCGATAAAAGCCGTTTAAGCCTATTCATATGACGCGGAGAAATCTCCTCGGCGTCTTTCGTTCCGGGCCAAATCCTGAAGAGCTTAAACCCTTCGAGTAAACCCTTACCTTTGTTCTCGATGATAGAATCATTGATGATTGGGCGCTTGGTGACCGGTTCAGGACAGGGTCGGTTCGTTTTCCGGATGAGATTTTCGAGGCTGGAAAGGTGTTGCCGAGTCAACTCTATTGAAGATCCATTCAGAGGTGACGGCTGCCGGAACTTGACGTGCAAGTTTTGAGGGGGAAGAGTGGAGCTTATGCCGATCTGCATGGAGCACAAGTGAAAGAGAGTTCAAGAAAGAATAGAGACACACTAAACAGCCGAAGCCAAGACTGAGTGGAATCGAATAAAACAGACCAATTACATATTTATACAACACTGTCCAAAAGTCTGTCTCTGTCTTGTTTTCATGTTTGGTTCGATTTGAATGAGTTATTACAAAACTCTTGACCTAAAACTCTAATCCCATATGTATTAATGTCATTCCATTCATGCACGAGTCTCTAAAAAATATTTGAATTTGAAATATTCTGGTGTCTTGATTTTGGACTCTTGAATTTTCCTTACATAATTTCAAACCCTCCGTACGAGAGCAGTCTCAAATTTTCTCCTCCCCGTTCAAATGTTAATGATGTTAGGCTATTTGCCACTAATTAAGTAAAAAATTTCATGTCTTCCGTTGAATGATTGTTCTTGATTTTTTTTTTAAGAAAACAAACCTCATTAAAATCCCCTTCTAAGACCTATAGGGGGGAAAAGAGTGTCATGAAATTTTGTATTACTAGAAGAAAAATCATTAGATATGACAGACATAATAATCTCGGGACAAACCGAGTCAAAATACAAGACATTTTCAAAACGGAGAGTCCACTTAGCGAAAGCATGGGTCACAGTAGTACAAGCTCTAGGAACAAAACACACTTTATAATTCAAATTAGCACACAAAATCCTATGAGCTTGAAGATGATAACCCAACGTGGATAAGTCCTCCTATGGTCGAGATATATTGTTGACTACAAACGTTGAATCATATTCAAAGATTACATGCATCCATCGATACTCAATTGCCAAAGAAAGCGCTAAATTCAAAGCATGAATCTCCGAAAACCCAGCTTCGACACAATCTAGTGACGATGTAGCCATGCCACCAAGTACTCGACCAACGATATCTCGGGCAATAACCCCACAGCTGCTATACTCCCAGTAGACTCAAAAACACCTTCCAGATTGATCTTCACATAGCCTGGAGGGGGAGGTTGCCACTTCGTCTAATCAATACACGAAGCTACGGAGAATATCGCAAATGTTAAACATATAAACTATTCTCATATTAATTACTCATAATGTTAAAATTTATTTTTATAGTTTGCTTAAAAAATAATAACTTTAGTATCTATTTTTCTAAACACTTTAATTCTTAACATTTTTAATCAAAATAATCTTTTAGATGAAATTAATTAATTAGTGGTCAATTATTATTATTGATATGATATTTTTACACGTGTTTAATTATTTTGTAGACATATATAACATTATAATTTTTATAATGTAACATATGATATACCATCATTTTTGATGACGTAACATATAATACATCAACAACTAAATACATATAAAAATATCACATCAATAATAAATATTAATTGTTAAGTAGTTAATTTTCATTAAAAATAACCATTTAATAAAAATGAAATATTGAAGATTGATGTAGTTTAAAATATTTAAGATATTTACTCAGATAAATATTAAAGATAAATTTTGATTTTATATTAATTAAGTATATATATATCTCATTATAGAATAATTAGATTTTTTAGAATAATTAGATGTTGATATCAGAAAATTGCACGCCGAAACATTTAACTTAGAAATATTATATTGTATTATATTATAGTTAGGCAAATCACGTCGGCTTTATCAGTTGAATTTTCTTTCACAACGTTATTAAACATTTAAAACTACGAAGGTTCCTCCTCAGTACCAAAATGATAATAGGATAAATTACACATTTAATATTTAAACTATCAGTTATGATTCATTTTAGTATCTAACTTTTATTTTTTAAAATATATCTAACATTTAATTTTAATTTCATTTTAATACATCGCTATTAAAAATTTAATACACATGCTGACGTGACATAGTTTTGGTCGATGGACAACCAATCCAAATGGTGAACCACGAGAGAATGACGAGTCAACCATCATAGTTCAGTTTTAGGCCCATTGAAAAATAGACCGTGGTGATTGAAAGATGAAAAAAAAATCGAAGAGTCACCATTGATTTGAGGAAAGTAAGGTGTTCCTTATGAAACAGAGGCCGAAATCACGTTCAATTGATCAAAATAGTACGAACTGATCAAAACAGATAGTTTAAATATTAAACACGTAATTTATCCAATATAATAATACAAACATCATTATTTTTAATAAAAAAATGCATAGAAAACTATTTTTAACCCCCTTTTTTGTAATATATATATATATATTTTTTCCTTCCTTACTTTTCCCCCAGTTTTCCTTTTTGAAGGAACCATGGAAAAACAATGGTTCATTCGTGGAAGGGGAGGGGGCCACAAAATACTGGCACGAAGAACGATCATTAACATTATCATATCCTTGGCACACAATCTTAGAATGTCATAGAGAATTTCTTGGGGGAAAAAAGTGAATGTTCTAATGCTAGTGGAGAGGGCCAGCGGGTAAGCCATCAAGAAATTAATGAGGAAACAGCCATCTCTCCTGAAAAAGTCATGGCTGCCTCTCCTGGTGTTACTAAACTGGTTCAAGCCATCAATAACAAGAAGAAATGATACATGGGCAGGGCCGGGTAACAGGGCTATGAGTTATACCAGTTGTGGTACACTTTTCAAGGATGCACTAACGTAAAATTTTACATTAAAATATTGAGTTTATAAAATTTTATGAGACGAATATATATTATTAATAAAAAGTTATCAGGTCCGATACTCAGATTCTCGTGGAGGATGATCCCACTGCTGTAAATTCAATCAATCAGGACGAAACCCTCCCTGAAGGATCGGCTCAGACGAGGGCTTGATAGGTCCAGTTATTGTGGGAGGGCTGCTGCTTCTGTAGTAGCAGAGATGGATGAAATGAAGTCGGTTTTGAAATAAAGGGAATGGTGGAGAGATTAAGTTTCAGAGTGAAGAAGGAAAGAGAGGGATGTTGGGGAAGAGGTCTAAAACGTGTGGGGGGAAAGGGATATTTTAGGACTATCGTTTATTTTATTTTTTAATTGATTTTTTATTTATTTAAATAAAAAAATAAAAATTAGGAGGTAACATGTTATCTTCTGATTAGCCCGTAATTTTTATTAACTATATTAACGATTTGGGACAAACGAATAACGATTTAAAGTTAAGAATGGCAAAATTTATAAAAAAAATATATTTTAAGGATAACTCAATAAAGAAATACAGTTTCCCTATGGCTTTATATTACCAAGGGTTTTCAAGGTTGATATGGTACACTGATGTAGCAGAATTTACCTTTTCTTGGATAATGAAAAACACCAATGATCAAAACAATATGAAAATATTTGAACAGGTTGCGTTTAAGTCCACACAAGACGTGAATACACTTCGATTGACCATTGTTACGACACTAATAAATTAGCTGCCGAGACTCCAATTGGCGAAAGCTCCCGCTCATCCTCCGGCCGACGCCGCAAATTTTGCTGCTGATAAAGAAGTAAAGCAGACAGGAGCAAACAAAAATGGCTGTATTAACCGCACTAACAAGATCGCTTGGCCAAAACTGCGCCAGAAGATCCAAAATTTCAATCGTTTCACAAAATTCCCCTCATAACTCCCGCTTCCAAACATTGAGAACTCTGATTTTGGAACCCTCTTTATCCCCATCCGTCAAGATCCACCGTATCTCTGAATGTGATTCCGGTATTCATTTTCATTTTAAGAAAATTTCCCCTCTTGTTTTCATTTTCCCTCTCATGTCTTGTTTAAGTTATGTAAGCACAATTTCTTTTATGTACAGGTATTGTTGAGGTCTATTTGGATCGCCCTGAAGCGAAAAATGCAATTGGGAATGAAATGTTGAGTGGCTTACGCCATGCATTCGAAGCTATCGGTCAAGATCTCTCGGCTCGTGTAGTTATGATCTCTAGCTCAGTTCCTAAGGTTTTCTGCACTGGCGCTGATTTAAAGGTGAATTTTGCTTTCTTTTAGTTGTCGCTTTCACTACTGCTTATTCTTTTGGATTTTGAGAGTTAGATTTTTTTTAATTTGACTTCATTTAACTGATAATTTGGTTATTAGAAGTAATGAGGGGAAAGTTTCCTGCTTGGAAATCTGATAATTTTATAATTAATGATCAATCTTGTGTTAAGTGAGATACTGTGAGTTTCGTATGTTTTCAGTTAGATGTTAATCTTGTGGTTTACCTGGACTTTAATTGGTAGGAACGAAATAAGATGAGTGCGGCTGAGGTTCATTCTTATGTCAACTATTTGCGGTCCACTTTCTCATTAATAGAGGTTATTCCTTATTCTCTAACATTTATATGATCATTATAGTTTTGAAACGATTATACTGACTATAGATATATGTACATACATTTTCAAGCATAGAAATGCATGCAAGTATATGTCAAGTTTTCTTGACTTGCTCTTAAAACAATTTGTCACTTTTCCATTTTCCAATATTTTTCTTCCTAATGCAAGGTCCAGGTTTCTATATTTTAACATTGTTGCATTAAGACCTAACGCATATTTTTTTGGATAATTGAGCTTTTCTTATCCAGAAAGCAGGAATCCCTGCTACATGAAGCAGAACAGTACTTGCAACATATTTCTGTAGCTATTTACAACTCAAAACCCCAATCTGTACAAACTTTCCTATTTACTCTATCATTTGTATTCATGCTCTTCCTATTCTCTCTATTATTTGCTTAGGAAATCCCAATGCTACTGAAAAAAGTAAGCACAAAGTTCCAGCTAAGGGAATCAAAGGCTTTATGGAGATCTATCTTAATAGCACACCGAGGAGAGATTCTCTTTCTATTGTAGCCTTTCACCAACTCATGACCAAGAAGAGTGTTGTCATGAATACTCCTACCTTGAATGAACACACTTTGGCGTGGGAGGATGATTGCAGAAAGCCACTTAGTAATCCTCCTCACCATTACTTTAGTAATACATTTGTAGACAATGGAACAACTTGAAACGTGACAAAAGCCTTTAACCTGGCTAAGATTATGACATTTAGACAAAAACACTATTGTAGTGGAATTAAATGCTGGAAGGGTATCTGAGGACTGGAAGAAAAAATGGCACAGCATCCACAAAATCAGCCCAAACCATATTCCAGGCACCCTTAAAAGAAAAGCAATGAAACCATCTGTCCCAGAAGCATTTTCATTCTCCTGCTCAAACAAAGAATCCTGAATTCCCTGCCTAGAGGCGATTCTCGTCATATCCTCTTCTGCATCAAGTGACAAAGTACATTACAGCAGCTCTTCAAGGAAGTTTTCTGAACCAGTGATATTCCTGTCTGCTGTGCCAATTAGTCTCATTAAGATCTAGCAATTTACAGTTAACTGGGTGATTCCCTTACTAATGTTGTTATAGTTGTTGCTGCATGCTTTCGGATGGTCTGATTTAAGATCAAGTTCTTACAGAGACTACTATATATTTAGTTCAGGAACTCCAAATTCCTTCTATTGCAGTTATTGAAGGTGCAGCGTTGGGTGGAGGACTTGAAATGGCTCTCTCATGTGATCTTAGGATTTGCGGTAGACATATTTTAAATCATTTCATAAGTACCTTTTTTTTTTGAGGAAAGACCCACATTTCATCAGTACCTTTATTTGCTTCTAAAGCGTCTAGTTACCTGGTCTTCTTTTTTACTTAAGATTGTTTTAAATGGATTGTCTTTTTTAGGAGAAAATGCATTATTGTGCTTGCCAGAAACAGGACTGACTATAATACCCGGGTATGTACTAAATATTGTTTCAGTATTTTGCACTATATCTATTTTGATCTGTTCTTTTGAGTAAAATCTAAAGCTGGTAACACATTGACCCTATAATTAACAGTGCAGGTGGGACTCAAAGGCTTCCTAGATTGGTCGGAAAATCAATTGCAAAGGAGCTTATTTTTACAGGTCGAAGAATTGGTGGCAGGGATGCAATGTCCATTGGTACATATACCTACAAGCTGCTTTTTTCCCCCTACTATGTTTTCTACCTATCCCACTTCGGTACTGAACGACGTCTGATATTGTAGATCTTGCCAACTACTGTGTTCCTGCCGGTGAAGCCCATCCCAAAGCTTTAGAAATTGTTTGGGAAATAAATCAGAAGGTAATAATTATGCGTCTTCAAAACTTGCTTGGCAGTTCATGAGCTATTTTCTTTTTCTAAGTTCATCCATTTAACATCCATGAATGTTTATTCTGAAATGCAAAGGTTTCGGGTCTGATGCTCACCCTTCATTTTATTGGTAAAAATAACTTTATACAATTTATTGAATATTCTTATGAACATATTCTTAACAGGGTCCAATAGCAATAAGAATGGCAAAAAGGGCTATAAACGAGGGGATTGGATTTAGAAGAAGTGTGTTACAAACGGCTTTTAGATACGAAGGATCACTTGGAAGGCTTAGCTGCATTTGCTGAGAAGCGTAAGCCAAGATATAAGGGTGAATAAGAAAGACCCTGAATCTTGCTAGAAAATAACTTCTTGATAAACTTATTTACTGATAAAAGTCCTCTTTGTTTTATATTTGGATCTTTGAGAAGTCCTTATGTTGGATGAACCATCTTTAGCAAGTAAAATGAAGAAATAATAAATTACATCAACCTTGTTTTCCAATGTCATTTCTATGGTGATTTGAATTTCACAAGGTGGGTTGTTCTTTACAGTAATTGTTTCAAAGATCTAAATCCCCACATTCCATAACCCGATATGTATTCATTTAAAAATAGATTTGTGTGGTCATTCTTGAGAGTCGGTATCTAGCAGGCTTGGAATTAGTTAAGAGCCGATATCTAGCCGGCTTAGAATTCCAGTTAAGAGCCGATACCTAGCAGGTTTAGAACTACAGTTCTACTGATAAGTCCCATTATTCCAAGTATGGTATTTTTACCTTTCATCGTAAATGTGATATACAAAATTGTCATGTTTATAGTACCACTACCAACTATGGCTTTAAGAATTAAAAGGTGAGAATTTTTAAATGGTAACTTTGTCCTTCATTATCTGATTGAGAAATTTGATAAGTATATACATTAATGAACTGATTCAAATGAAAAAAGGGTAGTTCATTAATTAGCTTGTCAATACTGAGAGAAAAGGCCAAGGACAGCTCAGTGACAACCCTGCTATAACTCTTCTGTGCTATCAATTACAATGCTCGAGTCCAGAAATAGAGTGTGGTCTCAACAATATTTGTACTTTCCATTCTTGTTAATATCTGCAAGTTCATGTTAGGTAAGTCAGTTATAGTTGCCATAACTGGGTCTCCTTTGATGAATTTTCCAGTCTATGGTTACCATAACTATCCCTTCGTGCGTTGTAATGATTTCTCGTTATAAATGACACAATCCCCATTATTTTTTCCACTGCCATCGACTCATATCTCTCAAAAAAAGTTCTCAAACAACAAAATGACCACATATCAGAATATTAAAGGCAGCGGCACAAGCAGTGGCATCAGGAAGTCAACCTCGAGATTCAGAGGGGTACTTCCACTTGCAAATCATAAATGGGGATCAAGGATTTCCTTTGATTACAAGGCATACTGGCTCGGAACATATAAAATAGAGGAGGAAGCCGCCATTGCTTATGATCGAGCAGTCCTCAAGTTGCAGAAAGCCAACACTATCCTCAACTTACCTCACAAAATCAACACACCTCAGGAGAAATCATTCCAGAGTTGGTACTCGGAGAACGAGATTCTGAATATGATCAAGTACAAAACGTACTCATCAAGTTTCACCAGTTTTCTTGCACATCAATCTCTGGCAAGGAGAACCATACCAAGCAGCTTACTCAACGCGAGGGGGCTCTCATATGAACTGTTATTTCACCAGGAGCTGAGACAAACAGATGTGACTAACACCAAAGGGTTCCAAATCCCAAAGGAATACGCCCTGCGATACTTGCCTCTGCTAGGAAGCAATTCAGGGAATGGAGCTCAAATGGGAAGTGACTCGATTGATATAACTTTCTATGACAGATATTATGCTTCCTGGACTCTCCGGTACTCGTATTCGGGTCGTATCCAGGCCTTTTGTTTCACAACAGGATGGAAACAGTTTGTCACTATGAATAACTTGAATTCTGGAGACACTGTAGTCTTCTATGGATGTTATCATGTGGATTATGCAGGACAGAGGGAGATGTTCTATATGATAGATATACTTCGAAATACCCCAGGAAACTACATTGTTGGCAATGGTGGAGAACAAGGATTTGGTTCAGATGGCGCTGATGGTACTGAAGGAGTGAATGGAAGTAATGGGGTCAAGCTTTTTGGAGTCATAATTGGTTAAAAACCATAAAAGAAAGTACTTTTTGTTCTTGTTTTTCTTCTTCTAAGTTCTCCAGATTTGAATAACGGCTGGCCCAACAAGAGCCCATGAAACTAAGTTTTATGTTTTTGTTGTCTGTTTAACCAGATTCAATAGTGAAAACGCAATAATTTAAATTTCCAATCGACTGGTTGTTCATTTTTCTCTCAATCTCCAATCTGAAACCCTATTTATCTGAAGTATACAAATCCCATTTTTTATCAAGACAGAAGGAAAACAAAGCAAAATGGCGACTCCAGCTGGAAATACTAGGAAGAGGTGGCTTCCTTTAGAAGCCAACCCCGATGTCATGAACCAAGTGCTTTTCATTTTCCCATTTTCTCTCCCCCAAATTTCTGTGTTTGGTTGAATGGAAAATGCCGGGAAAAGACAGTGACAAATTGATCGCCACGAGTGTTTGCTGAATAATTTTTTAATTCCTTGAAAATCGTAATATGGGTATTCTGCAGTTTCTTTGGGGTCTGGGTCTTCCAGTGGATGAAGCCGTGTTGCGATGTTTACGGCTTGGATGATGAACTCTTAGCAATGGTTCCCCAGCTTGTTCTTGCTGTGCTTTTTCTTTTCCCAATAACTTCTCAGGTGTGTTCAATTTCAAACTTTAGTTCCCAATATCTTGAAAATTAACTTCATTGATATGTATGCATGCAAATGCGTGCGAGCATTTTTGCCTTTTATGATTTGTCATTGCTGACTTCAAATTGTTGTATGGTTTAAAGCGTGCAACATTTCTTGAGAACGACGATGAAATGGAAGTTGCTCACGCTGTAGCAGCTACAGCTGGAGAAACAGAGGTAAATCCATTTTTAAGTAACTCTTTTCTACTCGAAAGCGGAAAATCGTGAAGTTGGGGTAGGATACAAATCGGTATAGCACTTAAAGTTTTTATTCTGCAATATTTTAGAGTAAAGCTTACCTACTTCATTGATGGATCTTTACAATACTTACTACTGAGGGCTAACAATTTTTATTTGGCCAAATCTCATTTCTCTTGTTTTGTCTTAACAATTTTCCTCGTACGGCATCAGACAATGTCAATACACATTTTATCTGCTTCACATGTGTTGATGGTACCTGCTCTTGTTCTCTGCCGTTATTCAATTTTTCAGAATATAACGAAATAAAAATGAAAGGAAAATACAATCTCTATCTCTTTGATCATTAGAGATGCTTTTGATCTTACTAATGTAGGGGGAACTTTATGAGCTTGATGGAAGAAAGTCGGACCAATTTCGCATGGGGCTTCCTCACCGAGTAGCGTATAGCAGGTTTGTTCTGGCCAGTTAAAACTTTATTTTATGTGTTTTTCCTTTTAACGTGCATTCGGCTGTCAGAAAAATGTTTTACGAGAAATATTGAGCTTTTAAGACATGGAATTTTTTAACAGTTCATTTTAGTATTCGAGTATCTTGCCTTGATCAAGGTGAAAGTGGAAGAAGTGAGCTGCCTTGCTCATCTCTCTCTCTTTCAACCTAGGGTTTGAGGAAGTTTCAACTGGTAGAATAAGTTTTAGTTTGAACCATCAACTTCAGCTTTCACAACCCATCTCAAACACCTCCTGTCTGTTTCGTGTTTGTACGCGCTAAGCAGATCGTTTTGCATTAGACGGGTGTTCTGGTTTCAGCATTCTTATACATGTTTTCCTTAATTTTCGGCGATAAACATTCTCATTATGTGCTAATATACGATTATTTCATCGTACGACAACAGGATGTGGCAAAAGTCAAAAAGGACATGATCCAGAAAAATCCAGAGTCGCTGTCATTGCACTTCATAAGAAAGTAGGAGTGGCAGGTAAATCTTAATATGGCAATCATTGTTATCAAGTTCCTACAAACAACTACAAATTAGAACCCAAATGTTCAGTTACTGCAACATACTCAAGCATATCATATGATTTTTCCCAATGTATGCTTTTCTCTCTTTGCATGGGAGAAAACCAGTGGTCGGCACCGACCGGAATTGGCTTTAAGCATCGTTTATCATAATCTTATTTCATAGTCTTTACTATATGTTACCAAATTTTATGTTAAAACCTCTTGTTCCACCCTATAATATTTGGTTTTTCTTTAATAATAAAATTATAGATATGCGCATATGTTATATATTGTATACTATACATGTATTAAAGAATATCGGAAGGAGCTGTCAAGGTTAACTCGGATGGAGCTGTCTGCAAAAATAATTCTCAGGCTGCAGGAGGTGGCGTGTTACGTGATGAGCATGGTCAGTGGGTCAGGGGATTCGTAAGGAATATCCGTCAGTGCGCTGCGCTGCATGCTGAGCTTTGGGCTATATTGGATGGCATCTCTTTAGCGAGGGACAGACGGTTCCAATCCATTGAGGTGGAGACGGATAATATGCAAGCAGTCCGCATTCTGTCTTCTCCGGAGCTGCCTACCGACGTGACAATTGTCCGCAGAATCCGAGCAATCCTGAAGGCTCATGGAAATGTAACATTGTCCTTTTTTCACCGTGAGGGTAATAACGTCGCTGACGCACTGGCAAAGCTTGGCCTTTTCGAATGATCCGGCCATGGTGCACCTGAGTCGTCCTCCGCCAGGTTTTCAACGTTTGCTTGATGAAGATATGGACTCCGCGAGCGTGAATTAGTTTTTTGTTTTGTTTTTGTAACAAACAAAAAAGAACTATATATACGAAAATTGTGTTTACTCTATATATATATATATGGGTTTTAAATTAGGAACTTGTATAGGGATCGATATAAGATTATAAAATTTGAACACCCTAACAGTTTAATTAACATTTTGGAGGGGTTTAAAATATTTTTTTACTTAATAAAAAATATTTTTTGAATATAACCTTAATAAAAAAATTAAATAGTTTTGAACTAAAATTTTTACTTTTTTTTGGTATGAATTAATTGCACTATTGTTTTAATTAACCGTGAGTGGCTACTGGCTAAAGCTCCTCCTCATGTGACCACGCTTTTGAATAAATATAAGTTTATTATATTAAATTAAGATTATTAATAATAAAATGCAATGAAACGCCATGCAACGGTTTATCTTGGACTTTGGTTCTTTGAACAGACAACTTTATTGTATTAAACTAAAATATTATTAATATAATCCAAGCATAAGATAATTTAAATCGTTATTAACATTACATTATGAATTTAATATTAGATAATTTCTCATAATAAAAACATATCAATTTAATTACTTAAAAGACATTGACTGACATTTTATCTTTAAATCACACTATAAACATTTTTTAAAGCGTTGTGGGCAATATTTTTTATTTTTAAGAATAAAAGAAAAGAAATATCCCATTCAACAAAATTCCTATGGTGAGGGCTCGTCCTCGAGCTCTACTACACTATTAACACGTCAGCTTCAACTGACTAATAGCTTTTCGCCACATGTACAATATCCGACTCAATCCTTAACTTACGCTCCATAGCCCATATCTGACCCGGCTTGAGCTGCAACCGGAGTCGAGGTAGCTATTTTTCTCCTCCTTTTTGGTGACCCGTTCCCCGAACCGGAGGACGAAGGGCTAGCCGGCTCCGGTGATGACCTCTTTGAGGTTATTCTCACCGGGTCGGGTTCCCCGAAATTGACCCTCAATGGGAAATTCAACAAAGCCCTTGAGCCACGCATCCTGTAAGCCGCTCTGTCATAAGCCAAAGCCGCATCCTCAGCCGTCTCAAATGTACCTAACCAAACCCGAGCCCCATTTTTAGCCGGGTCTCTAATCTCGGCCGCAAACTTCCCCCACGGCCTTTGCCTTACTCCCCGGTACTGCTTCCCTTTGGGCGGGACCGCTGCGAGAGAAGCCGTACTTACCGCCGTCGTTGGAGACTGTTTCACCGCTGTCTCTATTGAAATCTCTTGAATTTCGGGTTTAATCGGCGGGGAAGAATTATCAGACGGTGCCCAGCCGGCGGTTAAAGCATCTCGAAGGAATCCGAACACGAGCATGTCTTCGGAATCGTTCTCTTTGAGCGGGAGGTCACCCCAGGTATCAGTCAAGCAAGGGTACAATCGGCTAAAGCTGGTGCTCCGGCAAAACATAGGGGGAGCCGCTTTGGCACAGTCATTTGGAGCGGTGAGTCGAAAATTGCGACTCGCCGAGCAAGTGTCGCCGAATTGAGTCCAGCATCATCAAATCGGAGTCGATCGTGCTTGGGTACATTTCCATTGCTTAAAATTCAAATTCCAGATAAACAATTTCGTAAATTTCAGCTTTCAAGATAAAGAGATGAATCTCTGGGGAGTTAAGCGCCCTGAATCTCTTTGCTCAGCGAAGGGAAAGCGTGTATATATATATACAGAAAAATTAGATGCATGAATTTCAGTGGCGGATTTTTCAATTTTCTTTTAATTTTTTTATTAGGTAGTGGCATATGGCAATTGGGGGGATTAGTTTCTTGGAAAGTTCATTTGATACACATGACTAATAGATTGGTTCGGTGGTTACGTCATCCGATGACAGTAGCAAATTGTTGTCTCATTTGTTTGTAGAAAATCAATCGGATCTTCTGTTTGTTTCACGTAAAATATTTAGTGTTTAATTAAAAGAAAATTGGTTGATCAATATAAAATATTTTTTAATTAATTGAATTTTCTTTACATTTTTTAAAAAATAACTTATGGTCTAATTTTTTATAAGTTATTTTTTAAACTTTTTACTTTAAAGAATAAATACTCAAAATAATTTTATTTTATAAATTTTATATTAATATAATATTTTAATATCATTTTAATCAAGATATTAATTATTAAAATATTTGAAATATATTTATTAATATGTTTATTAATATAATATTATATTTTTTTAATATTACAATAATATATTGAATTATATTATAATAATATAATATAAGATATTATATTATTATTTTAATAATATATAATAAATTATTAATAAAATTTATATTATTTATTAATTTCACAGAAATAATATTATTAAATTATTAATAATGAATAATATTATTT